GATCATGATTGTTGTATGTTGAATTAAATTTATTGCATTATTAATCTAAAAAAAAAAAATTTCCCACCAAAAAAAAAATTCATACAAAAATGCAAATAAAAATGTGGATGCAAATACAAATTGAAATATAAAAACAAAACAATAATACAATTGGTTAAAAAAAAAAATATGATAATAAATTAACAATATGAATACATTATTAATTAAATTATATCATACTCACAATTAAAAGTGTTTTGATGTGATGTGATCAATTTGGTATGTTCACCCTTTTTTTCTATTTTTTTAACTTTTTTTTTTTATTTTTTTTTTTTTTAATATAGATTTAAATATAAATAATTTTTAATTTTAAAAAGAAAATGAAAAAAATAATAAAAAATTTATTTTAAATTGGTTAAAAAATAGTAATTAACAACTATTTAAATTATTTGTTTAATTAATTTATTTATTTAATTTAATAATTGTATTTATATTTACATAAATATAAAAATAAATTTTATACATATCAAGAATATAAATAATATATATATATATCTTATATAAAATATATAGTTATACTCTTTTTTTTTTTTTTTTATTTTGTTTTTTATTATTATTATTGTTTTATACTATTATTTATTTTGTTTTATTTATTATTACTAATAATACTTATAGGAAGGAAGAATATACTAAATATGGAATTGAATAAAGTAAATAAATATAAGAATGATATAAATTAAAATACCCAATAATCCGAGTTAATTGAAAGAGATATAGTATAAGTGTGTGTATATGTGTATGTGTGTATAAGTGTGTGTGGTTATTGTTATTCTTGTGTAGTTGTTGTTTTTGTTTGAAATCTTTGAATTTTTTTAATTTTTTTGGGTTATTAATTTTTTTATATCTTTGAAATTAAAAAACATGTTAAGAGGGAGAAGGTGTGAACTATGTGCATTAGGGTGAAAAAGAGTATTTTGTTTTGTTTTGTTTTTGTTTTCAAAAATGGGGTAAATAGGTTTTATTGAGTTTGAAAAAATGTTTGAGGGTGAGCATTTGTGTGTGTTTTGAATGTGTGTGTGTGTGCAGTTTATATATTTTTAATTAATAATCGTGTCAATATGTATGAGTATCTGTGAGTATGTTACTCAATTTTCAATATTTACAACTACAATAAACGATTTCAAATTACTTTTTTTGTTTTTTTTTTTTTTTGTTTTTTTTTATTTTTTTTTTATAAATTAATTTTTATTTTTTTAATCACTATCATGATTATTGTAAAGCAATATTTTTTGCTTAATTATCTATTATTGGGTAAACAAAATTCACCTATTGGTGTCATTTTTTTATTGGTTATTATAATAAACTAATCATGTTTTTAATCACTATAATCTGATACTATCACATTATATTAATATAATAATATATTTTATTAATTTAATATTCACATTATTGGTGATCGTTATATATTTTTTATTGTTTATCTCAATTTTATTTTTTTTTTGTTTGATTTGAATTAAAAAAACAAATTTTTTAAAGTTAAAAAAATAAATAAAAAATAAATAAATGAAACCATACAATATACTGATAAAATTATTTAAATTCCGTTTCTGATATTAAAATTTCAATCGGGTATGAAATTGAAATAAAAGAGTAATCTAAATTAATTTTTATTTTTATTTTTATTTTTTTTTATTTTTTAGTATTAGGACTAAAAATAGTGTTTAAATTTAAATTTAAAAATGAAATTACAAAATTAATTTTAATTAAACTCTATTTCAACGAACAATTTCACACACAAATAGATATTATACAAAACTTTTAAATAAAAATTGTTAATATATTTAAAAAAAAAAAAAATAAAGAATAAAAAGTTGTAAAATGAGATAGGTGTGAGGGTGTTAGAGTGTGCGAGTTAGCCACTATAAAAAAATTAAATAATAGTATTATACAAAAAAAAAAAAAAAAAAAAAAAAAAAAAAATTAAAGCGTATAACAATGTTTTTTTTAATATATTTTACAATATTATTTTATAATTTTTTCTATTTTTTTTTATTTAAAAAAAAAATGGTTTATATTGTTTCATTTTCTTTTCCTCTTAAAATCTTTTCTTCTCCTTCTTATATGCTTCTATTATATTTTTTTAATTTTTGGTGTTAATTTGTTTAAATGACAGTGTTGGCGATTTCTTCAGTTTTTTCACCCATGAAGAAGTAAGCAACGATAGCTAAAACAATAATGAAAATTGGGATTTTGAGAAGACCTAAACCACCACTTTCTTTTGGAGCAGTTCTAACTGGAGTTGAGGTAACTTTTTTGACTTCTTTTTTCTTTTCTACTCTTGGGCTAGCACCTGCAATACGACCGATTCTGAGGGCTTCCATTTTAGCAATAGCGCTGGCACTGTGACCAACATCATCGAACTCTTGGGTAGCATCCTTGCCTTTATAATTTAAAAATTAGTTTTTGGTTAGTAAGCACATTCATGGCTCTTTTTTTTTTTTTTTTTTTTTTTTTTGTCCCCCATAAAATATAACCTGTACATACCACCATTGCCTTTTAAAACTTCTTCACCACCTGGATGTTCGACAACAAATTTGGTGACATCAAAAACGTCATCATTGTAGACGATCCATAAATCGTCTAAGCTGCAGTGTTTTGCGACTTCTTCTTTAGTATAGGTTTTTTCTGACATTGTTTGGTTCTAAAATTATTATTATTATAATTATTATTATTAGTATAAACTGTTATGTGTAATTTAAATAAATATAATTTAAATAAAAAAAAAACAACACAAAAAATCTATGTGAAAAAAAAAAATAAAAAAATTAAATTGTTTAAAATAAAAAAATTAAAATTATTGAAGGTTTATTAAGTATTAAATCGATTAAAATAATGTTTAAAAAAAATTAAAATAAAATTATGTTATGTTGTATGTATAAATATAAATTAAATTTTTTAAAAAAAAAATTTAACCACAAATGGGTTTAAAAAATTTAATAGATTTTAAATAGATACATTGTAATTAATTATCGCAATTAATGCTCTACTATTTGAAAAACAAAAATGACAATAAAAACAAATGGTGTTTAATACAAGTGGTTTTGTATATTGGCACTTAGGTTACCTCTTAAATAGACCCACCTCCGATTAAAAAAAAAAAACACAAAAAAAAAAAAAAAACACAAATATAAAAATATCAAAGACCATTTATAATTGTTTATAAATATAAACAAACTTTTTTTAATCCTAAACCCTTTGAATATTATAGGTGAATTATTATTATTATTTGTGTTGTATTGTTATTATATTATTATGTTTTTTTTATCTATCCATTATTAATTTGTTTAATTATTGACAATAGTATACTATTTATTTAAAATGAATACAAAAGGATTTGGTTTGATTATTATATCAATAGTTAAAATAATATCTATGTTATTGTTTTTGTTATTGATATCGGTCAATGAAAAAAAAAAAACCATAAAAAAAATATTTTGCAAGTTTACAAAACAATTTTTACATAAGAATTAGGGTGTTGGTTTTGGTTTTGGTTTTGTTGTTTTATTGATCTAGCATTAATCATATTATAGTATTACCTTTTGGATGTGATTATAAATGAAAATAAAAAAATTTAGAAAAAAAAAAAAAATTATTGAAAAAAAAAAAAAAAAATCAAAATTTTTTTTTAAATTATTTTTTTTATTTTTTTTATTTTTTTTTTAAAGTCATTATCATTACACATGAGTCAAGTTTGGAGAATTGATTGAAATATACAAAAAAAGATAAAGAATAAATTTATAAATAGAAAGAATATTTTTCTTTTTTTCTTTTTTTTTTTTGGCTATGATAATGCATAATGTTATATTTAATTTGATCAATAATTGTGAGTGATTTTTAAAAAAAAAAAATAAAAATAAAAAAATTTTTTAAAAAAAAAAAATTGTGGGGAAAAAATTATTGGAATAAATATAAATAAATAAAATTATTGGAATAAATTAATAAATAAAATATAAACAAATAATAGATATTTTTATAAAACAAGATTTTTTAATTTATTAATTTAATTTTTTAGTTTGATGATTTGAAACTTTCTAAAACATTGATTTTCTTGGTGAATTGGTCAAGTTTGTCACCTTTAATTGAACCAGAGACTAATTTGGTTAAACGGGCAGTTTCAGTTTGGATGTAATCAACTGATTTGTCAACGATAGTTTTCATGACTTTGACATAGTAAGCACCATCAGCTTTTAATTCTTCAGAGAGTGAGTCAACGATGGTTTGGGCTTTTTTGATGATTTCTTTACGGGCATCAGCAGCGGCAGTGATGAATTCAGAGGCTAAAGTATCGAGTTTTTCAACACGACCGGCATCAGCCATTAATTTACCACCTTTAGTACGTTTGGAACCAGCGTTTTTGTTGATAAAGTTGATAAAGGTATCGAGTTCACGACCTTGTTCATATTTGGCACCTTCTTTGTTATCTTTTGAGAAGAATTTGATGGTTGGGAAACCAGTGATACCGTATTTGCTGCAGAGATCTTTGTTGGCAGCATTATCACAATCCATTTTAGCAATGACGACGTCTTTTTCGTTGGCATAGGTGTTACCAAGAATTTCGTAATCTGGAGCTAATTTTTTACAATGACCGCACCATGGGGCAAAGAATTCAACTAAAACGTGTTTGCTTTTATCTAAAACAACTGATTCAAAGTTTGATGGGGTTAAATCAACAACGTTTGATGGAGCTTTTTTGACTTTCATGTTGGTACCAGCGTGGTTGTTAATGTAGGTAATTAATTCTTCAATTGATCTTTGACCATTGTAATCTTTTGATGTGGTTGATTTATCAAAGATTTTAAGAGTTGGGTAACCTGAAACGTCATATTTGCTGCAAAGGTCTTTGTGATCGTCACAATTAACTTTGGCGATGGCCTAAATTAATAAAATAGAATTGATTAGTTTTTAATAAAATTAAACAAAATTAAACAAAACAGATTTAAATATACTTACAACTTTGTCTGAAGCTTTTTGGAAAGTATCAGCAAGGACTTCATAGTCTGGGGCTAATTTTTTACAGTGACCACACCATGGAGCGTAGAATTTAACAAAGACAGTCTTTGAACCATCGACAACTTTGTCAAAGTTTTCTGGGGTTAAAGTGACGACATTGCCATCAGCTGAAACTAAGGCAACTAAGGCCATAGCAATTAAAGTAATATAAAATAAAATTCTCATTTTACTATTTATTATTATTTATTTTATATTTGTATTTGTATTTATAAAATTTTTATTAAATTTAATATATTTTTTTGAAGTTGAATTTTTTTAATTTGATTTTAAATTTATATTTATAAATTAAAGTATAAAAAGAAAAAAAAAAAAACAGTTAATATAAATTGAAAATTATAAGTTATTAAAAAAAATATATAAATAAAAAATTTATACCTTTCAATTTGTATTTTTAAATTATGAAATAAAAAAAAAAAAAAATTTGACTTTTTTTATAATTTTAAAATTTTTTTTTTATAAAAAAAAAATATATAAATTTTTAAATATAATTATTTTTTTTATTTTTTTTTATTTTTTTTTATTTTTTTTTTAATTGTTATTAAAATGGTAATTTTCTGGAAGTTCCACATAATTCTTTGTGAGTCACCCCAAAAAAAAACTGATTAGTCAATAAATAAATAAAATATTAATTGTTTTAATGGTAGTTAATATAAGATTTAAAATTTAAAAAAAAAAAAAAAAAAAAAAAAAAAAAAAAAAACTGATGCTTTGTCATCTTTTTTTTTTTTTTTTTTTTTAATTGTTTATAATATATATAAATTATATATATTGAATCAATTTAGAAATAAAAATAAAATAAAATTATTATAGTTATAATAAATTAATATATGATTAAATTTTATTTGTTTATCTATTAATTTTTGAATTGTTTTTTGAGGTAAAATTTGATAATGTAAAAAATTTAACAATTTCATCCCTTGAGATATCATCTTCTTTTTTCTTTTCAATATTCTTGACTTTAATTGTTTTCTTTGCACCTTTTTCTTTAATGATTACTACATATACAGCACCACAAGCTAATGAGGCATCTGTTTGTTCTTCTGGTGTTGGGTCAGATAAATACATTGTTTCAGCATTAAAACCAGCATTTTGGAGATCTGAAACAATACTAATACGTTCCATAAATAAATTGGTACCTAAACTTATAACAAATATATCTGGTGTTGAAAATTTATGTGATATCATTTGTTGTTGAATTAAGGTTGGTGGTATTTGTTGTCTTCTTCTTTGTTTGAGTGATTCACGTTCACGAGAGTAAATTTTATCCATCGCTACACTTAAACCTGTAATTGGAATTATAATTGATGATAATTGTTGTTGTTGTTGTTGTTGCTTGTTATTGAAGCTACCACTATATGATGATAGATTAATATTGTTGAGATTACCCGTACTATTTTGATTATTATTACAAACTAAATTGGTATCATATCTGCCACCAACTGCTAAACATTCATGTTTTTCTTCTTTAAGAACGACTTGAAACATTGTGCCAATGGTATAAAAGTTTTCGCTAAAACAATATGATAAATCAAAAATAATCTTGTGTGGTGGTATTGACATTTTTTCAAAATAGCTTGATAGTTGTCTAACATCTTCCAAAAGGTCGGTGAATGATGAACTGACTCTAACACTATTTCCACCACCAATTGTACTATTGTTACCTAATAATGGATTGTTTTGAGAGCTGGTGTCTAGTTTTTTTAATACATCCGGTATGGTGCCTTTAACTAATACCCAGTTAGCTAGTCTTTCAACTTGTTTGAGTGGTAATTTAATTTTTTCTAATAAAACTTTTTTAACTGTGAACCATGGTTGACGAATTAGTTGACTTAATACTTGACCAATTTCGTTCTTTTGTGTTTGGTCTGTAATTCCAACCGATTTCCACATGTATTCTACAATTCCAAAGTGATTAAGACGAATGAAATAGTAGTTTTGTGTAGATGGGAGTGCATCAAATATTTCAGTTGCAACTTTAATAGTTTCAGCATCGGCATATAATGAGTCGCTACCAAAAATATCAAAGCAAAATTGGGATAGTTCTTTTGGTAATTTTCCAACAAGGTTTGGTTTTCTGAAAGCATGGCCAAATTCATAACGTTTAATTGGTACTCTGGACACGATATCTAAGATATCTTCGACTGATCTTGTTGTTATAGTTGATTTGGCTTCATCATCTGAATATTCTAGATTATCATCGCCTGTGTTATGTAGATCGTTGTGATGATGTTTATAGTGTTCCCCTAGATTTAAAAATTCGGTGGTTAAAAAGTTTTTGAAGGATACACGGAGATCGTGTCTAAGTTCAATTAGTTGACCACTATCATCCATTAAAATTGATTTACCAGTTTTACAATTAGTAGATTTTGTTGTAGTTGTTGTGGTTGTTGTGGTTGTTGATGATGTTACAGTTTTATTGTTATTGGCTAAACTTGATGTGGTTATTGTTTTTTGTTGTTGTTGATGTTGTTGCTTTTCCTCCCAATCTTGGACTATATACATTTGTGGGGTGAGCATTTCATTTGAATTATGTTTCTTTAAAATTGTTTTAATTAACTCGTCAACAAAATCCTTAACCTGTAAAGTATCAAAACTGCAAAACAATGATTTACTATAGGCGGATGAAGCAAGGCTTGATTGTTGGTGATGGTAAATGTGAGAGTGTAGGTTTTGGTGATTTGAAGAAAACAAAGAGTTGAGCATAGTTTGGTAGAATTGATTGGTTGGATTTGTAATTACACGAATTGAGTTTTTAATATATTCATCTTCCATTTTTGGAGGCATTAGTTCGCTTTGCAATAATTCTTGTGAGCTTGGTCTTTTAGCAGGATCTCTTTCAGTTAACCATTTGATGAGCTTTGCTTGTCTTGAATGTGATCTTTCAAAATCACTTGGGAATTCGCCTTTTTCACGAAGATTACGCAATACAATAACTCTTTCATGACCAGTTGAAAATACATACCACATTTCAAAAAACACAATACCTAAACTATACATATCGACCTTATTATCATAGGAGCTATCACCATTTGTACCAGATTCTTGTTCCGGACTAGTATAAAATAAAGTACCAACTCTAGCAGTATGTTGATTAACTGCACCCTCTAACATTTCATCTTCCCAATATTGATTATTGTTATTGTTTTGTTGATTTTGAGGATTGTGAATTACAGAGTTGTTCGAATTTGAAGAGTTTAATGATCCACTTGTAGTAGAGGAGGATGAGGAAATTGAGAGGTTGGTTTGTGCATTTGTAGCTAAACCAAAATCACCAATTTTAATGTCGCCACAAGAATCAAAGAATATATTACTTGGTTTTAAATCTCTGTGGATTATTCCTTGGCCGTGAACATATGCCATACCCTCGACAATTTGTCTAAATAATTTCCAAATATCGTCATCTTCTAAATTCATACCAGCTTCAGTAAGATTTCTTAAAATTTTTTGACAATACTCCATCTGAATGTAGAGATATGCTGGTTTGTTTGATGCCGATGGTTTTTTGTCGTCAGTACTCTTTTTGGTTTTATTTGATTTATTTGAAACGGTGGTTGTCTTCTTTTTACTTGATGAACTGGTTTTTTTATTTTTTGTACTATTGTTTTTATTATTTGATTTTTTATTTTTAAGTACCATTTGATTACTTGAACCCATACTTCTAGTATTACCGCCAGTTTTATTGTTAAGCTCGAATACCTCCAATAAGAAACCAGAGTCCGAATGAAGGAAAGAATAACTATCATCAGTAAGGTCAAACTCTAATGATTTTTTGTTACCATGGTTAAATAAGAAACCCTCTGAAAAAGATTGATTAAAGTCATCCTCTTCATCAGAATCATCAGAATCATCAGAGTCATCAGAGTCATCGGAATCATCTGATAGTGATTCATCTTGGCTAGAGTCTTCTTCAGATTCGGAATAGTCTTCAGATTCAGAACTAGACTCGATTGACTCTTCCTCCTCCTCCTCTTCTTCTAGGGACGAGTCATCAGAGTTTGTTAGTGATAAACTTTCAGCCCCTTCAATCCAAGCTTGGTAGTATCTTACTACATGTTGATGGTGTAATCTTGAAAGAGTAATTACCTCTCTTAAAATTCTTTTATTTAAAGATCGATTGCTATCCAATTTAATCTTTTTAATTGCATAGTATCTACCATCCAGCTTATTTTTAACTTTGACTACTTGTCCAAAGCCACCTCTACCCAATAGTTGAATTTCTTCAAAATCTGAGTGGTATCTTGATTGTTGGTGTGGCTTTATAGTTTTTGATACATTTGACATTCCACTTGCAATACCGCCATTACTATTGCCTTTACTTTGCCCCATTGATGGATTATCAGCCTTTGTTAATGTTTCCCAAAATTTTGAAAGAAATTGCCCAGTGTTATTTGATGAATCGACATTCTTTGAACTATCTGATATTGATATATCGCCGAATGGTTTTAAAAAATAATCTTTAAATATATGCTGGTAGATTTGATTATCATAAGAGTTGTTCACATTTACCAATAAAGGTAAATGATTTGGATTAAATAAACCAAGATGCACTAATTGTTCACCCTAAAATTTATCAAAGAGTTAGTATAAAAATATTTCTTAAATAAATATTGTTAGATATGTTTGTATACATACAAGAGTTCTAATATGATCAGCTGATATATTGGAATCGTTTTGAACTAATAAACGTAATAAATGAAGTATCATAGTTTGCTGCTTATCAATAACTTTATCATTTGGTTGGGACAATGTTTGGGTTTGTTGCTGTTGTTGAATTTGTTCCTCGGTTGCCATCATAGCTACCATTGAATAGTCATTTGTATAGGTTGGTGAATTTTGGGTAAATGTATTATTTGTTAATTCGTTAACAATATTTTTCTTTCTTTCTCTTTCAAAATGTGCTCTCTGCATACTCTTTTGTAATCTAAAGTTTTTTCTATCATCTTTTAATTGGCTTTCTTCTAGTGCTGACTCCCATTCTTTTTTATCTATATTCAAATTATAATTTGGATCATTCATAGAACCAACTTCTATTGATAACTAAATTAAAAAAATAATAATATTAGTATTATATTATAATTATTAATACATAAGGTTTTTTGTGATAAATTAATATTTACTTTTTTAGAATCTTTTTGATCAGTTAACATTTGCTGATGCATTGATTGTGTTGGCTCACTGTTATATATTTGTAAAAATTCTTTAACGATTTCACAAAGATCGAAAATCATAATGTTACCAATTTTACCTTGAGATTCTTTTTGAAGCTTCTCTTCCAATTCAGAAGCCTTCTTTTGAGATATTCCTTTGTTTGGTAATACTTGAATATTTGGTAAAACTACGGGATATTTTTCTGGGAAACCAATGCATAAATATACAGATATAAAACATTTTTCGTCATCCCCAACATATGGTTTTAAAGTTATTCTAAATCTTGATGATTCTTTAACAGGCTTAATACCCTCAATAATAGTATCCATATTTTTAGTAATTACAATTGGGTCCATAGTAATAAATTCATCTTGATAAATTGCCTGTAGTGCATCGATTTCCATATCTTGTTGTTCTTTTAATTGTTTTATTAACTCTCTATCTCTTTCTTTTCTAGCTTTCTTTAATGCATTCTTTACACTTGATTTGGAAGGCACCTTTGGATCCTCTTCATCGCTTGATAAAATATCATCAATTAATACATTTTGTTGTAGTAATTGCTGTTGTATTTGTTGTTGCTGTTGCTGTTGCTGTTGCAGCTGCTGTGGCTGCTTAGTTTTATTGTTACTTTTATTTGGTTTTTGTGGCATATTATATTATTATTATTTTTTTATTTATTATATTAAGCATTACTAAAGATTTTATGTTTAAATGAAAAAAATTAAATTAATTAAATAAATTATTATTTTTTTTTCTTTTAGATATTAAAAAAAATTTAAATAAAAAATAAAAAAATTTTTTTAAAAATTAAAAATATTATTTTTTTAAAACTTTTTTTTGACTAATTTTATTATTATTTATAATTATAAATATATATTTAAAAATATATTTTATGTGAAGTGTGTGTTAATAATCTATTTTTATGTGTGTGACGGTGAAAAAAATAGTAAAATAAAAATAAAAAAAAAAAAATTATGTGTGGATAATTATAATTATTATAAAGAATGCTTAAGAACGGTGTTTCATTGGAATTAAAAAAAAAAAAATCTATTTATTTAAAAAAAAAAAAAAAAAAAAAAAAAAAAAATTAAATTAATTATTATTTTAAAAATCTTTTATTTGGTTATAAATATCCGTTAATAGGTTATCATTTTTTAAAAAAATTAAAAAAAGAAAAAAAAATGCTTTTTTAAAAATAATTGAAAATAATTGGTGAGAATGGAGAAAACAAATAAGTTATATGTTATATGGGTTTCTATTTATAATTTTAATTGTAATATTTTAAAAAACAAATTTATTTCTACTTTATTTAAATTTTTTTTTTTTTTGAAATTAAAAATTACTTAATAAGTTTCTTAAATCGTTTGGGGTAACATCACCTTTATCATTATATGATAAATCTACTTTCTATATGATTGGAAAATTAAAAATTGTTAGGGTCATGTTTATATTTTATGATAAATGAAAAAAGTGGTTATAATACATACAGTTATAAATCTATTTAATTCTTGAGATGGAATGAAAACAGTGTTGTTATTTAATTTAGTTAATTGGTTTTTCTTATTTTGATCAGTTTGTTTATCAATGATTGCTTGATGGATTTTAGTAAGTCCTTCAATCATACCAATGACTTCATTTTCAATATTGATGACTGGTCCTCCGCAAATGCCCATTGGTGATACATTCTTTGTTTTTACATAATATCTTTCTGGTGATTCTACAAAATTTAATGTGTATGATGATTCAATTGGTCTCATAATATTATCGTTTTCACTTTCTAATTGATAACCATATAATTTACCTTCCTTTATATATTGAAAATAAATATATTAGAATATTGTTTAATGGTATTATTGTTATTATATTTATTATATTTACATGTCCTTCTTTTGGAAATTCGTAATGTTCTAAATCCATAATTGTAGTTTCGTATGGTACATTTGTTTTTTTGAAATCTTCTTCATTAACTTTAAATAAAACGAGATCTAACATTGGGTGTAAATGAAATGGTGGTTTAAGTGGAATTGTGTGAAGTAATTTACCTGTTTTTTGCTATGAATATTTTTTTATTAGTATTGATTAAAGTTTTTTAAAGTAATATAAAATAATAATAGTTACATCTCTATATTCTAATTGAACTTTAATGTTTTTTTCTCCTAATGAATAAATCCAACTGTATTGTTCCTCTTTATAAAGATTTGGGAAATGGAAAGGATGTGTAATGTGTGCGCAACTGATGCAATATAAAGAGTTGTTTGGTTTTGATAAAATACTAGATGGTGGTCTAACTAAAAATGCAGTACCTTTTGAAAGATTAGCATATTCATCAACACCTCCTTCTGGGTATCTAAAGAATGAACTAATTGATAAGAGATCTGGTCTTTCAACCATTCTAAATTTATGTGCTTCAGCAATACTACTCTTTGATTCTGCTTCTTCTTTTCTTTCGTTTTTAATATCATTTATCATATTGATAATATTGCTACTGAGACCGCCATTATTATCTTTATTTTTTGAACTAAATTGTCTTGTAGTTATTTGTTTGGTATGATTACTATTTATTATTCTTTTGGATAATCCTAATAGTGATCTATTATTACGCATCATTGTCATCATCATCATTGTATATTATAGGTGATATTAATACTGCAAAAAGAGTATAAATCTGATAAATGAATAAAAATGAAAGAACGAAATTTATTAAAAAAAAAAAATAAAAAATAATAAAAAATAAAAAAAATTTAAAAAAAAAAATTTTTAAAAAAAAAAAAATCTTTTTTTCAAATATATTTGAAAATTATGTTAAATTCTATCCAATATTAGAAATCACTTTATAAAATATCGATGGTGGTATTTTATTATCCAGAAGCAATGAATTTAAAATAATAATATAAATACCCACCAAACACACTTACCTTATTATAACAACAATACAAGTATCTATATAATGACCTAAATAATATATTTTGATATGTGTATTCAGATATTTATTTTTAATAAAATAACAAATCATCCATTATTATTTTATTTTGTTATATTTATTTTATTTTATACTTTTTTTATATTTTTATTTTTATTTTAGTATTTTAAAGATGGAATATTAAAATGCTCATCATTTATAATAAATTCGCATATCCATTTTTGTATTTAAAATATTTCAAATAAATCTATTTCTTTTTATTCTGTATAAATATACAATATAGTTTGTGTGGGTGTGGTTTTTTAATTTTTTTTTTTTTTTGTGTGGATTAAAAAAAAATTATTTAAAAAATTATTTTTATCTGTAATTATTTTATTTTATTTTTTATATTGTTTTTTATTTATCACTTTTTTTTTTAATATAAAATCACCATTATATAATAAAAAATAAAAGAAACTAATATTAATAATAATAATAATAATAATAAAAAATAATAATAATAGTAATATAAAACTTTTATATTAAATAAAATCAACATTAAAACTTCATTAAGTATATATTATTGTATACATTAATAATAAAATGGGGTTATATAATGAAGAACCATTATTTTATAGTTTATTTGTAACAATTGGGGGGCTATTTATGTTTTTATCAATTGTAATTACTGGTGTTTTAATTATGCAACATTTGGTCCACTATAATAAACCATCATTTCAAAAATATATTATCAGAATTGTTTTAATTGCACCAATCTATGCAATATATAGCTTTTTATCTTTATTTTTCAAGAGAGATTACTGGGCAATGTTTTTTGATGTCTCGAGAGATTGTTATGAAAGCTATGTTTTATATTGTTTCTTTAAACTACTATCTGGCTATTTAGGTGGAGAGGAAGCAATCGAAGAGCTATTAAACAAGAAAGAAAGACAACCTGTAACCTGGCCACTTGGATATTTTTTTAGCTTCAAGCCAAAGAGAAACTTTTATAGAATTTGTATGTCTTTAATTATACAATATGCACTAATCAAACCTCTAATGGCCATCACCTCTGCATTCTTGTTTTATTTTGGTAAATATGAGGATGCAAATTTCTCTACATCAGAAGGTTACCTATATATAACTATCATCAATAATATTTCAGTAGTTGTAACTATTACTCTTTTTTATTCCTTAATATAAGCAATTTATTAAATTTCTTTTATTTTATTATATAGGTTGCCCTTTACTTTTTAGTAATGTTTTATGAAGTTTTTAAATTAGAATTAAATCCACACAGCCCAATCCTAAAGTTTTTTGTTATTAAAATGATCCTATTCGCAATTTTTTGGCAAACTGTATTGATTTATATTTTAATTTGGTTTGAAGCAATACCAAAATCAGAAATATATTCACCAGAAAAAGTTGGGTTCTTTTTAAATGATTTCTTGGTGTGTGTGGAAATGTTTGTATTTTCAATTGTTCACAGTATTGCTTTCAATTACGACGACTACGTTTTGGACAACAACTCAACAGATAAATTGGTAATTGATAGTCATTTAGAGGCTGGTTTGAACGGAGCCAGTGGTAGTAATAGCAATAGCGGTGGCTCAAGAGGTCACAATAGAAGCAATAGTAATATCAAAACCAAAATTAAAGATATCAAATACAACATTAAAAGATATAAACATAATATAGTTGATGGATTTACCGACGTTCATAACCCAAAAGATATTGTAATGGATACTATTAAAAGCACAAAACTATCAAATGACCACTTTTCAATAGATGATAGCCCTGATGTAAGTATTTATAAATTGTTTTTCTATTACACAATTTATAAAGCAATGTACTAATATATTTTTATTTTTTATTATTTCAGTATCATAGCTTTGTAGATTTAAATAGCGAAGAAAAGAAACATTCTAAATTCCAAAAGTATTTTAAAATCAACAACAATAAAAAAGTTAGACCCGATAAAACTTCAATTATCGAATTTGACGAGTGTGCATCAAGCCCAACACCATCATCGTTTTTAGATCAGAATCCCACACCTTTAAACAATTTCAATAAATATAATGACTCGGATCAGTTTGATATAATAGACATTAATGGCAACTATGACAATAATGATAATATAATAAATGATAATAATAACAGCATTGACAATGGCAATATTAATAACAATAATAATAACAATAACAATAATAACAATAGTAATAATATAAATGATAAAGTTGATGGTTCAATATTATTTACATTTTAAACAATAAAATATAAATATGTACTATAAATATGTTTTTTTCTTTTTTTTTTTTTTTTTAAAATATAATGATATTTTTAGTGTTATTTATCCATTCTAAATCAATAAAAAAAAAATTATTATAAAGGTTTTGGATTATTTATTTTTGATGTATATTATTTTGCTTGCGCGTAGTTTTATTGTGATGGTTTGAAAATATTGAAAAAAAAAAAGTAACTGAGCATAAATTTAATTGTTCAAGTTTTTACTTTTTGTTGTGATGTTGTTATTATTTATTTATTTATTACTATTGATATTATTTATTATTATATTAATTCATTTATTTCTTTTTATTAACTTTAGCAATTGATTTAGCTTTTGAAACGAAAACTGGGTCTCTTCCTTGTTTGAATTGTTCAACCCAATGAAGAATCCATTTTCTATTTTTAACTGGAACTTGAAGATCTTTTAATTTTCTTGAAGTTGTTGACATTAAATCCTCCCATGTTGGGAATAATTCTACATGTGATTCACATTCACGTCCTATTTTTTGTAAGAAAGTTTCAACTGTATATCCTCCTATAAAAATAATAATTTGAAAATGATAATTTGATGATGATAATAATGATAATTTGATAATGTTGAATTTTATAAAATTAATATTAAAATTAATTAAAAAGAAAAAATAAATATTAGTATTCATAAATAATATGTAGTGTTGTGTTTTTGATTTGTATCTATATAATATTAGATGATAATTACTTGGTTCGGCAAATCTAAAAAATGGAGCGTATGTGGTTGGTTTAACAGTTTCGAATGGGTCAATATAATTAATAACTAAATCTTCAATTGAAGTGAGTGGTTCATCAATTGGTAAAAGTGGCATATCTACTGGGAGTTGTGGGAATGGGTATTTCGATTCGACTGCATCGAATGGTTCTTCATTGGATCTAACTAAACCAATTGGAAGATCCATCCTCATTTTAAGATCTATTTCATGTACATTTTCTCCTAATTCATCTTCATCAAGTGGTGAAATTTCTTCAGTGTGACCTAATTCTTGTGTAATTTCTTGTGTAATTTTAAATAATTTTGCGATATCTGATTCGTCTTCTGATTTTTTTTCTGTACAAAAACTTCTTCTATTATTTATATATAAAACATCTCTGCTGCTGCTGCTGCTATTGATGCTAAATGATTTGACAACATTGAGTTGTCTAAATCCAACTCTGCTTAATCTATTTAACATTCTTTTTTAATCAATTTTAAACAATAAAAAAAAATGCAAAAAAATTTAAAATAAAAAAAAAAAATTAAAAAATTTTCGTTTTTTTTTTTTTTTTTTTTTAAAATTTTTTTTTTTTGTGGATTTTGGCATAGAAGTTCGAATGGATAAAATACTAACCCTTTATTTTATATACATTCCATTATTAATCTATTTAAATAGCATTTATAAAATTAAAATATAATATATTTTTAATTTTAAAAAACAAATAAAAATAAAACTTAAAATGTAAAAATATAAAAAAACACACAAAATTTTTTTTTTTATTTTATGATGCAAATATAAAAAAAATAAAAAACAAAACAAGAAACAAATAAAAAAAAATTAAGAAATATAAAAAAGAGATTTAGTATTTATTATTTTATAAAATATTACCTTTGACGTTTATTTTTTAAAATTTTAATTAATTTTTTTTTTATTTTTTTTTTTTTTTATTTAAATTTTTCTTTTTTTTTTTTTTTTTTTTTATTTTATAATTTTTTTTTCAAGAAATCGTTGTAATCCAACCTTTCTATTATTTTAAATTAATAAATAACATTAATTTATTTTATTTGTTTATTTTCGACAATCAACCATTTTAAAAACCTGTTCAACAAAAAAAACAATTTTATTTTTTTTTTACAATCAATTTATAAATAATAATATAATATAATATATAAAATGTTTAAAAAGTTACTTGTTGTTTTAATATTTATTACTTTATGTAATTCAATGATTACATTTGCACAAGATTCATCTTCATCATCAGATATCAACCCAAATTCATATTGTATTGGTAAAACTCAAGCAGAGTGTTACTCAGGTAATGCATGTTGTGTATGGTGCGCAAATAAAACTGAAGATAGTTTAAGCTCAACCTCTTCAGTTGGTATTTGTCATTATGTACCAGAAGAAACCACTACAACTTGTGTCGAAAAAATGTGTCCAGCTAAAGATTATTACCAAATTGAAACATGTTCATGCAATTATAGAAGTGATTCAAATACTCTTTCAGTACCATTATTTTTAACCTTCTGTTTATTAATTTCTTCATTAATGTAATTATAATAGTGACCAAAGAGCAACAAACATACGCGTTAAAATAATTCATACTAATTCTTTTCTTTTTTTTTTTTACAAAAATAGTTTCTCATATATCAAAAACTAAATAAAACAAAACAATAAAAATAAAAATTTATGTATAATACAAAATAAATAAAAACTAAAGATTACAATTTAAAATTTATTTGTTTATTAAATTTTAGGAAAAAAAAAACTATATTTTTAAAAAAAAGTATATAAATTTTTATTTGGTTAATAAAGGTGTTCTTCATGATGCTGTTGTTCGACTAAAGAGGTTGCAATTTCATGAGTTGAATCGGTTGTAATTTCTAATATATGGTTGTTTGAGGATGGATGATTTGGTGATGGTGGAGCTGAGGATGTTAGAGAAGCGGCGATTTGATGGTGGAGATGATGGTGATGGTTTTCATTTAAATTTACAATTTCATGATGTTCTTGAATGTCTTCAAGATGTTCATGATGGTGATGATGGTGCTCTTCAAGATGTTCATGTTCGACTATATGATGATGAATAGTTCCATCGTTTAATACTTCGTGTTCTGTAATAAGATGTTGTTGTTGAGGTAATTGGTCGATGAGTTGGATTTGTTGTGATGCAAGTTGCTGTGATGGTTGTTCATCAAGTTCAGTAAGTAATGTTTGGCTTGGTTGATCATCCATTGTTAAATCTGTATGATGAATATGGTGATGAGTTGGTTCACCTCCCATATTCGGTATGATTGCATGATGGTGTTTCATTGGTTCATCTATAATGTTAACTGCATTTACCTCCAAACTTCCTGCTGGGGTTATTTCCTCTTCTAATAGTTGATTAATATCTTGTTGGTCAGTTTGTAATATTTGATTGGTTAAACTATCAATAATCTGTGGTTGGTTTTGTTGTGGTTGTGATTGTTGCAATTGCTGCATTTGTATTTGTTGATGTATTTGTTGAATTTGTTGTTGCTGCTGCATTTGCTGCTGCATTTGTTGTATTTGTTGCATTTGTTGCAATTGCTGTAATTGTTGTTGATGTTGTTGAATTAGTTGTGGTGGAGGAGTATCTGGGTCTTGAATAAGCTCAGGCTGTATTTCTTCTTGTGATTGTTGTTCTTGTGACTGGTGCTCTGAAAGTAGTTGAATGGTTTGTGGAGGAAAAGTAGGAATTACTTCGGATTGAGTTTGAGAAGGTGAAATTTGTGGTAAACTTGTTTTTTTAGGTTTTTTGGTTTTATTATTTGTTGGTGGGCCATTGTTACTTATAAAGGTTAAAGGTCTTACATTTGAAACCAAATTACTTGATGATCTAGAGCTCTTTCTACTTTTTTTACCATCTTTATCTTTTTCTTTATCTTTTTCTTTGTCTTTATCTGTATCTCTTTCTTTTTCTTTGCTCTCCTTTTCCTTTTCCCTTTCTCTTTCTTTTTCTTTTTCCTTTTCCTTTTCTTTTTCTTTTTCCTTTTCTTTTTCCTTATTTTTACTACCTTTACTATTTTCTACATTATTTTTGTTTTTATTGTTATTATCATCAATTATACTTTCAATACCATCATTTATTTCGCTATTATTTAAATTGGATTTTGAACGACCATTTGTTATTGTTTTTTCACTTTTTTCAGATGTGATATCTTTTAACTTTTCTAAATCGGTTTTAGAATTAAATGTTGAGGCACGGAGATTTGTCCAAATATCACCAGTGGCCGAAGATTTATGGCATTTTCTTCTTGCCAAGTGGCTCATCCAATCGATAGCACTGTTACTACCACGAAGACCAAAGTATAAACCTAAAGCAGCCAAAAGTACCTCCTTATTATGAACTAAAAAGTCAACACCACCGGTATCCCATTCACAAATCTTTGAAAATAGGGGATTTGAAAGCATAATCCAAAACAAACGATAACGAAGAGTACGAAGTGATTTAAATGCCTCCATCAACGATGAACGGTGCTCTGGGTATAAGCCTAGTTTTTCTGCAGCCTGAATAAACTTGAGTGTATTATGCTTTTCAATAACGCCACTTTTTAAGTTCATGCCCTCGGGTGGATTATAAGGTTCTAAACCATTCTTTAAAAGAATTCTATGCTCTTGTGATAGCCCACCAGTTGATGATTGGCTTGATTCGTCACTAATAGTTGAACTGGAAATAATTGCTAATGTGGCGTTTTCATTTGCCTCGTTATTCTTTTTAAACTCTGTTTCGGATACACCTTGGAGTGTGGCAGCAATGTGAGTAAAACCCTTATCATAAGCCATTTCCAATGGGTACTGTCTTGAATGATTAGGAACTGATTGATCTGCACCAAATTCCAAAAGCAATTGAACGGCATCAAGATTATTTGCCTTAACTGACCAATGTAGTGGGGTCCAACCTTCTTTATCTGTACAATTTGGATCCGCTTTACTCTTTAAGAAATACCCTACCAAGCCATTCATACCATAGGCACAAGCATAGTGAAGTGGTGAAAATCCATCCTCGTCCTTTTTCTCTAAGTCAAACACAACCTTTGGCTCACTAGCAAGTCTAGCCTCGATATATGATTTAATAGATTCCAACTCACCATTCATAAGATATTGTAAAAACTCACTGCTTAGAGTTTGTTGACCTACGAATGGGAATGATGTTGGTGATGTTGGTGATGTAGGAGATGTAGGTGATGTTGGTGATGATGGCGAAGATGGTGAGGTAAATGTTGGTGATGATTTTGATAGTTTTGATCTCTTTTTTTTTGATGGATCTTTACTTTGAGAACCATTCGATAGAGAACTATTTGAACGCTTTGATGATTTTGAAACTTCAATTGGAACAACAATTTCATTACTCCAAATTATATGATCATCTGAATCGAAATTATATGTTTGAACTTCATTGTTATTGTTATATATTGTTTCTATAATTTCGGTATTAGCCCTAGATGTTGTGGTTGTGGTTGTAGTTGTAGTTGTGGTTGAGCTGGTAGATTTATCCAAATCCATTTGTTGTGCTTCATCAACCACTATATCTTGTGAAGTATTTAATTGGTTGTTTATATCATTATCATCACTATCATTATTATCATTATTACCATTATTACTTATAATATTTTGATTACTGTTGCTATTTACACCATTATTACTATTATTATTATTATTTACATTATTATTATTGGTATTTTGTTGATATTGAATCTCCATTTCATCATTTATATTTGATTTATTATTATTCTTTGGATCGAAATTTGGAAATTTTAATAAATTTAAAGATTTGTCATAATTTAACTGCCTTTCTATTTTTTTACAATTGAAGCCAACCCTTATATGAAAGACTGATGCAGTTGGAATATCTGGAGTAATAACCACCATACATTTATCGCAGCACATATTAACTTCGATTGGATTTGTAATGGTAATACTGTCACGAGTACTATCCCCTAAAAATTGGACAATAACATTTTTATTCATTCCAGGCAGTGGTTTTAAATTGTTGCCCTTTAAAACCAATGGTGCTCTGCTTAAGCAGCCACTACTAGGTATTGAGCTAGTTAAACTTGGCTTTGCTATTCGTTTACCTGCGATTTCATAATACTCAACATCTTTCCTTGTGTAAAACCCTAAATTTTTTTAAAATATGAAAAAAAATAAAAAATAAAAAAAAAATTTATGAAAAATTAATAAATATTAATTTTTTATTTAAAGATAATTGACAAAAAAAAAAAACAACAAACTACTTACTAATAACATGAGGATTTACAGGTTCATCCATATTAATTTACTTAAAATAATTATCCTGTATTTTTATTTTTTTATTTTTATTTAATTTTTTTTTTTTATGTAATCTGGATTTTTGATTAAAATTAATGATTTATGAAAAAAAAAAAAAAATTAATATTTATTTGAAATTTTATTTGTATAATCCTTTTTTTTACTTACCTATTATATAAATAAAAATAAAAAATAAAAAATAAAAATAAAAAATAAATTCCTGTGATATATAAAAATTTTACGAACTACATATAATTATACAAATAATGATTATGTATTTTTTGAGAAATTAAAAAAAAAAAAAAAAAAAATTAAAACATTATAATTAGATCATTGATTGATTTAATTTAAATTTAAATAAATTGATTTGAATTTTTTTATTTTTTTTTAATTTAAAAATTTTGAAATATGCATACCTTATGGATAACAGGAACTTCTTTGTTATAATAACAAAATTATCTTATAGAGAAGCTTTTTATACGAACTTTAGAAAAAAAAAAAAAATTTTGTTGGAAAAATTTTAAAAAAAAAAAAAAAAAAAAAAATTTTTTATAAAAAAAAATTAAAAAATAAATAAAAAAAATAAATAAAAAAAAAAAACGAGAAGTATTTGATTGATTTAATTTATAAATTATTTTTTTATTTATATCATTAAGCTATTAATGATTTAAATAGGTTGAATGTTATTTAGGGAATCTCCCTCTTTATTTGTAATCAATATTCTCATATGAATTTATTAATAAAAAATATATTTTTTTTTTCAAATAATACATCCATTAGTATTCCCTTATTAGCAAATAGAGTAACAAAATTATAATTTGGAAAAAATAAAAACAAATATAAAATAATAATTATTTAATTAAATTTAATTAATATCCAATCAACCAAAAAAAAAAAAAATAAAAAAAGTAACTAATAAAAATTATTGATCAATTTTAACACACACTCTCCAATTTTAATTCACATTTTTATATCACAAAAAACATTTTATTATACTCTTTATATCAAAGTGATCATTTGTTTTCAATGAAAGACATTTTAAAATTTTATGTTTTTTTGCCAAAATTTGAATTTTTTTACGTAATTTTATAATAATTATTTTATCAAAAAATCTATTATTATTATTATATTGTAAAAACCCAATTTAAAATTTAAATTAATTTTTTAAGTAAATAATTATAAAATTATTATTAAAGTTTAGTTAAGTGTGTGGCATTACTTTTAAGTTTTTTCAATGAATATGTAATCCACACAGATAAACCC